ATTTTGTAAACAAATAATTTATGCATATTTCCATTAGGAAGTTGAACTGATTTGTAAGAACCGGTATTTTGTGTATTCAAAAGTAAAAATGTTAAGGAAACAAAACCCGTTACAAGAAGGACAAACTTGTTTTTCAATATTACCTGAGCAGCCCTTCCCAGGTGTGCTGAGCAATCACCCAGTTCGGGCTCTGTGTCAATGGATGAGCAAAACACCTCCCAGATCTGCAAAACACCTGCCTATCTCTAGGAATCACTAGGAAGCTGCAACTTTACACTCCCCAGGAAACCACCAGACCATTCCCTGCCTTGTAGGAAGTGATACCGATATACTCAGTTCTCTTCCCAGTGGCTCACAATTTCACTTTAACATGACTGCTGGGCTAATAACACAGGGGCATAGAAATATCATCTTTTCCCCATCACTCATTGCACATGAACATGTTTTGCCTTTCCCCTCAAAAGCTAACACCAAAACAACAGCCACACACACACTCCTTTGAGTTTTGCAAAAGTTTTTTTCAGATTGTGCATACATATGACAAATACTTGGAAGATTACATACAATTCAAAACTTTCTTGTGAAAATATTTTAGTAAAAATGATAGTCTCAGAAAAAAATCGTGTTTCTCTTTAGGACTCAATCATTTAACTGTCAAAGACACACTGACCCAAGCAACAACGAGTCTCTCAGTGTCATTGGTGCTGTTGTAATTGGCTAGTCCTATATAATAAAAGGGTAGTGTGCAAATTGACCAAATGGGGGAACGACCAGTCTCTATGACACGCACTGACCACAGGGAGCAGGCCTAAGCTGGCAGTTGGACATCCCCCCAGGGCTCCCGGACTGTGAGTGGGCGCAGAATGGGCTGAGGGACCCCTGAGTGCACAAATCTCATGCAACGGGCCTCTAGTTATTAATAATAGGAAAGGAGCCCTAACTGGTTTGGCTCGGTGGATAGAGCGTCAGCCTGCGGACTGAAGGGTCCCAGGTTCGATTTCAGTCAAGGGCATGTACCTTTGTTGCGAGCACACCCCCAGTAGGGGGTGTGCAGGAGGCAGCTGATTGATGTTTCTCACTCATTGATGTTTCTAACTCTCTATTCCTCTCATTTCCTCTCTGTAAAAAATCAATAAAATGTATTTTAAAAAAATAATAGGAAAGGAGCAAAAGGGAGGCCAGACATTATAAGCATGGTCTTTTGGGCAGCTTCACTAGGAAGCTGCAACTTTACACTCCCCAGGAAACCACCGGACCATTCCCTGCACATCACTGGGGGAAGAGGGAAGATGAGTGCATGCACAGTGAGTTAGGATGAGGTAGGGAAGGTGCCTGTCAGTCAAATCTGGAACAGAGATCATTGGCCAGAAAGGGTGGGGCCACTACCAGTCCATGAAAGTTTGGGGATACAGAATCCCAAGACAAAGGAGTTCACTCTTTTGGCTCTTGGCATTCTTGGCTCTTCGTGCTCTTGTGGCTCTCTAGCATTCACCTGTGTTCTCTCCATAGCCATGTGGCCTTGTGGACCCCACAGGCAATGGGCTGATGAACTGCAGCAGGGAAGACAAACTAAGCTAGCTTACTGCTGGACTGGACACTGCTCCAAGATGGAAAGGCAACTCTGGGCAGCAGCCTTCATTCCAGCCCCATTGAAGGCACAGCTGGACTTCTTCCCCGACAGGATGAAGGGAAATGGGACCTGGGAAACCCAGGTGTAATTCCACAGAAATAAAACTTTCTACACTTATCTCACTCTCCTGTGCGAGTCTTAGAAAATTCATTTTCTCTTGACATCACAAGAAATCCACTCACACCAGTACCAGTGGGAATGAGGAGAGCTCCCTACCTATATAACATCATCATATACTCAGAACTGTGTTTCCCCTTTCATCAGGGAAATTAAGTTTTTGATAAAACAAAATGAGTAAACGTTCAAGAATGCAATAGATCCTACAATACCATCTTTAATGATAAAAATTCAAATGCAAAGTCATTGTCAATCAACTCCCAGATCTGCAAAACACCTGCCTATCTCTCACTGGAAATTTCATGAACCATACAATCATGCAACTCATTGTTTTACAATTTTTTTTAATCCCACTTATAGCATGATGGCAGGGATTTTTTGAAATTCCTGTTTGGTACTAATAGACTAATCAATGTCCAGTTTGGCATCTTATAATCTCCTCTTTCTTCCCCACCGGCTTTTTCCTTCACTATGCCACTGCAATCTAAGAAGTGAAGGGTTTTCACTAATGCCCTCAGCCTGGCTGCTCTCCCCACACAATGCCTTCTCTCGAAATTTTCCCTCAATAGCTCCCTCATCAAAGCTTACCTACTGACTCATTTTCTAGGGCATTGTTTTCAGCTTATTATTATACAGAAAAGATCTGGAAATCTCATTCACTTTAAGTGTTAGTAGCTGAGAGGAATTAGTCTGTTACCCCCCTAAGAGATTTGCATTTTAATAGAGGACAATTTCTTCATTACTCAGAGGAATGGAAGATCTCTAATGGTGGAATTTCAAGCATCACTGACAGTAGTGGAAGAAATATTTGGGGTAAGAACACTTATCACCAAACCATAATACTTGAGATAACTACATTTTTTACTATCTAGACTTAAGTTGAACCTGAATAGAAGAAATATTCATGTTTGAACAAGAATAAAAGCAGAACTTAATTTAAAGCAAAAATCTTAAGCTGTTGAACAGCCCTATTTTTTAATGGGATGCATTATTATCTCTCAGCTTCTTATTTTTTCTAAGTGGCATTATTATTCTATGCAGCTCTTCTCAATTTCGTTATGTCTTCACCAATGTGGCCTAAAGTTCCCCTCAGCTGGAAACTTAAGACAGGCTTGGTCCTGACCTTAGACTGCTGACCTCCCTTGTCTTAGTGCATTTAATGTAGGAAAGTTATACTTTTAAATTCTTTATTTGTTCCTTTGAGATATAAATCTTTTAAAAAAACATCTTTCCAGTTTTACAACCCAGGAATGATTTTCTCAAGACCTGGGGTCATTCCCTTGAAGTGTAATCATCAAGAAAGATAGCACCTCCATTTCCCGGTTTTTGTGGGAGAGTAAGAACCTAACTCTTTTGGGTGCCTTGCTCTGAGTTGGAACACTACATTCCTGCCATAAAGATAAGGGAAAGTTTACTTTTACTTTGAGCAAAGCCAATTAGCAAACTCAGATGGCCTTCAATGACCCTATCTCATTTCAGCTCTCAAAACCTCCCCTGTTTCTTGTTTCAATGAAATTGAGTTCAGCATAAGATTTGGTTTCTTGCCCCTATTACAATAGCTTTGAATAAAGTCTTTCTATCCTGTATAACTTGGTCTAGTGTAATTTTTTCTTTGACATCTGTACATGGATAGATTTCAGTGCCTATATCCAATTTGCTTACTTTGCCCGAGGATTCTTTCAAACATCCCGAAGCAAACATCCCCGAACATAACATGACGAAGGAAACAGAGGAAGCACAATACCTTTTTTTTTCATATCAATGGCAGTTTCCTTCTCAGTTTTCTTTTTGACATCTTCTTTTTCTGGTGGTAAAGTGAGAAAATTAAAAGCCTTTTCCTGTATAATTTTTATGTATGGGGGCACACATGACTACCAATAAGGTACATCTAATTCATCTTGTAAGTCAGAGCTATAAATCATGTCAGATATGAATGAACTGGCATCTCATAACAGAATAGTGACTTTGCTGTGCTTTCTCTTCAGGAAGGGAGCACATTTTTGCTAAGGTCAACAAAATCTATCATGACAGTAGAAATATTAAAAAGCATTATTAATTAAAAATATAGTATGCTTCAGTAGTTTTCCCAAAGAATTTTAAAAGGAATAGACTGAATGTTCCCTGGGCTATCAGGGCCCTGGAAACATGTGAGAAAGTCAGAAATGGCCGAGGCTCACGTGGGACCTCAGAGGCACTATATGAAAACAACCTAACCAATCTAAAAAGAACAAAACATAGCAAACTAATCAACCAGTTTCCTCCCTATACATTAAATAATGTGCTCTTTTGAAAGACAGTTTGTACTAAACAGAATGGATTAAATAGTAGTCGTATTCACATAAAGTGTCAGGTAAAGAACTGAATTAGAATTGAACAGTAATTCCTAAGGGGGGAAAAATCAGTAAGAGTTTTAAAAATGTGTTTAAGTTTAAATTTTCTTTTAAAAAGTTTATCAATTTCAACTTTATTTGGAATATTTATAAGTCTCAAGTGAGCTTCTTAATAACAAAAATGAAATTATTAAGGAATTTATTTTCTAGAAAACAATAGCTCTGTCAGTAGCATTATAAATGGATACTAATCGATTTATGTGTTTGACAGTTTTTAAATTTCTTACCTTTCTTTTTTGTTTCAGAAGTCACTTTCTTCTCAGCTTTCTTCCTTTCCCCTTCTTTTTCTAGGGAAGAAATTAAAAGTAGTTTCTTTACAAAAATTTAGTGCAAAAGAAAAGCTAAGATTGGAATGAAGGATTACTGTGAAGTCAATTCTGCCTCCAGATAGCTTTGTGACTTAGAGCAAGTGATTTAATCTTTCTGAGCCTTATTTTCCCCATTTGTAAGATAACAACACTTCCCTCCAAGTTAGATAATGTTTACAAAGCACTGGGCACAGTGCCTGGTTCATAGTAAATGCATAAAACTGCAGGCCGCTAATATTGCTAACAGCTAATAAACAAGATAGCTTGAGCTTCCTGAACTAAACAATTGTTGAGGGCCTAAAGTGAAATAGTAATACATGAAATTACAACATATTTTCTGAGGAAAGATACACGTGAGCTAAAGGAATTACTTTTGTTGCCTTTTCCTGGGTCCAGTTTCATTAGAAAGAATAAACCAAGCCATTAGCGATGCCTAGTTTGAATTAACTGTTTCTCAGATCTGCCTCTTGTCAGCAGCCATTTGGAGCCTGGCGACACTTATCTGGCAGTGTGCTGGGGACATAACTTCCACTGTCCTCGCTGGGTGGCTGCATCAGCAAGGGTGCTCAGACCGTTTTTGCACCCGGAGGTTGCAGGAAGTCTAGACACCGCATAGAACAGTATGTGTTCCCTGCAGACTTCAAGAAAGATTTCCGTTTCAGAGATCTGAGGGGCCATGGAACTTCCAATGCCCAGCCATAGCCATGTAACAACTGGGCATCCCTGGACGTTTTTCTGGTAAGTGTACGCATTTCAAATAACAAAGCTCTGTAGCAGTGTAAGAGTTGTGAAAACGGAATACTCACTTCTCTTAGGTTTGAGGCAGCTATACGGGCAGTGCATGTCGGAAATAAATTGATTTTATCTTCAATTAGTAGCGTTATTCACCTTACAGTTGAAATATTTTTTCTCTTTGCCATTTGTCTTTCGAGTACAGATGTTAAGCATTCCAAGATTTTTGTTACCCAGAACTAGTATGAGATTATTACTATGCTGAAGAAATTCCACGAGCAGTTCTGGTCTGAATGCTTAAGTTGCCTACTAATGACTGCATCTTATTAAACACTGGAATTTTAATTCATTCCCTTTGGTGTCCTTTTTTTTTTTTTCCGACAAGATCAAAGACAACACTTTCTTTAGTGTTAGAAGTATAATTTTTGAAGAGCTTTTTGTGGCTCCTATAGACGCGTTGGTGTTGAAGGGAGAAGCGCGTTCACACTCTGTCCAAGTGCATCTGCAGCGCACCGTCCCAGCGCATCCAATCAGAAGGCGAAAGCCAAGCAGTCAAATTTGGATAGTTCCAGAGTTAGAAATAAACCAATTAAAATTTACTGCCATTCCTTAAAGCTTCATACATATTAAATATGGAAATGGTGTTTAAAATCCTGAATAAAGATTCTCTTGATTTAAGTAGTATTACTTTCAGTTTCTCTGTGAAAAAAATGTGATGTAGCAAAGGCATTTTCCATCTTATTAAAATAAACATACGTGCCAGGTCATTGGACTGGCATTCGCTAAACACTACGGTCTGATGGCAGGTACCAGAAAAGGGTTAATTAACATACCGAGTGCTTATAAATACGCTTAGCCTGTATCAAAAATCCATGCCATGGCCACCATAAAATCACAACTCAGTACCCACGTCTCTATGTTTCATAATGTAGACGAATGAATATTTCACTTAAAAGTTTGTGACAATTAGTCATTCTTATAGTGACTTCGGAATAAAACTAGATGTTTGAGGCCATAAGATGGAAGACATTCTTTTCATTTTTTAACAAAGAGAATGCTCTTGCGCAATAAGCTCTACCTTTAAATGACTGTATCTGGGGTTTTATTGGGGTGACACTGTATTCCTGCCTCAGTTCATATTGAATTAATGCTCCCATTATACACTCTGCCTGTGATTATGACCATACACGGCGAGAGTCATGAATAAGAGCAGAAATCCACAAAAAGCAGGTATAAATAATATACTTTAATAACATTTTTATGAAGTAGACCTTTAAGCTGTCATTATGGGACGTACTTTATTCACGGCGAATTCATTTAAAACATCAACTTCTGAAGATTCTGCATTTCGTCAAGCACTATTGTCTCCATTCCCTAGGTGCTTTGGCAGCAGTGGAGTCTGGTTTTTCATTTATGAAAGACACAACAATTTAATTATACACTCTGCTCGGATACAAAAATAAACCATGTGTCTTTCATGAAACCTCTCTGCCCCGAGTGAATACTCTTCCTTTCCATCCACCTATGCTCCCACTCATCAATTTCCTTTCTCCCCTTCCTCCAATTTTTGCCGTTTTGTTTCTAACAAGCTAGAGAAGAGTCAGAGCAGTTAATATCGTAGGTTTTCAGAGGACCCACAATTAAGAGTGTCGATAGAATGTGAACTTATCAGCATATTGCCTTTCTTTGGCAAAAAGTGTCATAAACCCTGAGATGATGGCTCTCTGGGGCAGGGATGACTGGAAAGCCTGGTTGAGAGAGAAATCTCCAAAATGGGCAGCACAGAGCCACAGATATGTTATTAGATGCCGCATAAATTAACATCAGATGAAAGAAAAATTAAAAGACGCACTTTTTACTTTCTAAGCCTTGACAATGGGCTTTTCTCTTGCTTTTAAATGTGTTTGGTTGTGTGTTCTTTTTATGCCATCTCAAAGCCAGAGAATGCACAATAGCTAATTATAATTGTAAAGCTTTCTAAGATGCTTGTTCCTAGCAAACGGGAAAACAAATGCAAATGTGTCATTTTCATCTTGGGTTTTGTCCCCCCACCCCGCCCCTTTGCATTTCTAGTGTGGAGATGATCCAAATTTTACATGTCGGATGGTTGCTTTTCTTTTAATCCTCCTTGGCCAGGCTTGATCTATTCTTGGTCCTAATTAAGTAAGCAGAGACATATTTCTTTCCTCACAATGCATTCCCACAGACCTTGTTACTGCCACCTTGTTACTCTAGAGTGGCAGAGATTGGCTTGGAATCCCACTCACTACCATGATCATGGAAAATGTCACATAAACAGATAAGCTCAACTACAGCAGTGGTTATAGAGTTCTTCATTGCTATCTACAGAGGGCCATGGCCCTTGTTCGGTTGGGTGTGACACTGGTCATGTGCTGCGACACGCTGAACTTCATTTTCCTCACTTGAACAATGGGACTAATAAAATTGACTCTGCCAGCGTGTTGTGAAGAATGGAGGAACCGACCTAAAGTGCCTGGCCCAGAGTGCGTGTTCAAAAAAAGCAACAATGATAGCTATTACTATATTTTAGAAACAATAAAGATATGACTTCATATAATATGTAGTGACTTCGTAGGTGTGATATTTATTAAAATGTTAAAATAAATGCGCATTAATTTGTATGATACTGTACGGAGGGAAGCTGTGTCTGGAATATTTTGTGTCGAGAAACTTTAGGACAAAAGTACATATGTAAGAATCAAAGTATTGTGAAGGGGCACTGTGCTGGAATGAAGTGGATTCCAGACTCAGTTATGCTATAATTAGTAGCCACTGCCTTATGCAACTGTGAGTAAATCTTCTGACTTTCACCATAAAAGGCAGGGGAATGAGTAGAGCATATTTAAATCTCTCTTTACCTGTTCATTTAATCACTTTCCAAATGAAGCATGTGCCATCTTGCATTTGTTTCCTGATTTTGCTGGGAACAGTTAACTTAAAAAGCTTGAGTTGTAAATAGCTATTTTATGTTCTCTGCCTGTTATGACTTAAAATTTTTAAAGCTAGAGAAAAGTCCATTTTTAAGCCTTAAAATGAATATATGCATATACTCATGTATATTTGAATATGCATGCATGCATATATAATGTTAGGTGTTAATAAGGATCAGAAAAAAACTTAAAGCTTGGTTTATAGAATTGGGGCATGAGAAGGTGGGAGGTGATAGTGCTTTTTTTTCCCCAGAGTTTATTAAAATGTATTTTTATTGATTCCAAAGAGAAAGGGAGAAGGAGAAATAGAAACATCAATGATGAGAGAGGATCATTGATTGGCTGCCTCCTGCACACCCCACGCTGGGGATGGAGTCCACAACCCAGGCAGATGCTCTGATCAGGAATCGAACCATGACCTCCTGGTTCATAGGTCTATGCTCAACCACTGAGCCACACTGGCACTTTTCTTTTTTTAAGGTGGAACATGGGTAAATCTTTCTGAATGGGTAAGATTTGAAAAGATTTTGGAAAATAAAAAGTAGAAGAACCTTGGTCCTTTGGGGAGAAGAATTTTCTGGCAGAGAAAACAAATATCTGCCAACACCTTGAAATGAGAACATTCTAGATATGTTCAAAGAGGACCCTGGGGGCCAGGCGGCTGGAACAAAGGTGCAGAAGGAGAGTGGTAAGAGAGGTGGCCAGAGATGAAGCAAGGCCAATCACAGAGAATCGTGTTATTCATGTTGTGAATTTTTCATTTTACTGTAAGATAGACCAATGAGAAAGTTCAAGCAAAGAAATGATGTGCTGATGAGTTCTATTTTAAGAGGAAGTTTGGCAGTTGCTGGGTAGTGGAAAGTGCCCCATTGGATTCTGAGATCGTATTAATAGGAAAAGACTAAGAAAGTAAAATAATTCAGTACAAACATTCTTTCCCCTTTCCTCTTTTTTCCATAAAAGTTTCCTCTAAATTTTATTTGGGACTCTTGAACTATGGAACGATGGTAGGAGTACTTTTCTTAACTTGCAATGAGGTTACTATGACAGCAAAGCGCTCTAACTTAAGGACTTCACTTGAATTACCCAGGATAACTAAACTGGCCTTTCAGAACCCAAATTCATTGTCTTTTCCTTGACTTTTCCTTTAGTGATAACTGAATTATTCTTAGAAGCCAGCTCTTCTCATTATCAACTATTTAATAACAAACGTCCCACAACCTGCAATTCTATAACACCTTTCAGTGATTATATGGAGACTTTTACATATATAGTTTATTTCCTGCATCAATAAATGTTTATTTAGGTTCATGTCAAACCCCTTGCCAGGGTCTAGAGTTTAAAAGATTCCTTTTAGGCTAAAACCAGTTTGGTTCAGTGGATAGAGCATCGGCCTGCAGACTGAAGGGTCCCAGGTTCGATTCTGGTCAAGGGCATGTACCTGGGTTGCGGGCACATCCCCGGTGGGAGATGTGCAGGAGGCAGCTGATCGATGTTTCTCTCTCATCGATGTTTCTAACTCTCTGTCTCTCTCCCTTCCTCTCTGTAAAAAAATCAATAAAATATATTTAAAAAAAAAAGATTCCTTTTAGGAATTCCAGGTAAGAGAATAAAAAGGAAGAAAATTTACAATTACAGTAAGGACTTTGAGTCTAAGGAACTCCACAGAAAGTCCCAAACCAAAGAAGGCCAAGTGAAGGTATGAAAGCTACTCCTAGAGGAAGGACCACAGACAGAGACTGACATAGACTGAGCCTGGGTATGAAAGACATGGGTTTTTAATTCTAATTACAGTAGGACCTCAAATAATGTAATTTTGTTATATGAAATTTTGTTTTAATATTGATAGGAATCCATAGGACATTAACTCTTGGTTATATCAATAAGTCAATGGTAACATTAGTTTTGCTACACATTGTTTCACTCAAAGTCACAGAATCTATCAATAATGTTAAGTTAGGATTTATCATATTCCACTGTTAGAGCTGTGTTATCTTAGGCAATTTACTTGGTTCCTCTGATCATCTCTGTAAAATGATGCAAACCATACTAACC